TCTTTCCTCCCCTTCAGCCAAGTTCAAGGAGGGCTCTGTTGTGGGGCCAGTAGGCTAATCTCTCTGTCAGTGCAGGCTACCCCAGATGGTTTCCTTATGTCCCATGAAACCACACTGAAAAGAAGGTCAGTACACTCCAACTTTGGTGAGCCTGACAGTGGTGAACAGGAGGTGAGCGGCATGTGCAGAAGCGGATAGGACAGGGTGCCTGGGCGGCTACGTGGTTGAGTGTCTCCCTTGGGCTCAGGTTGTGATCCTGGGGTCCTGGGATCAAGTCCCGCATTGGGCTCCCTGCAGGAAGCCTGCTTCTCCCTCTGCCTATGTCTCTGCCTCTCTCTGTGTGTCTCTCATGAATAAATAAAATCTTAAAAAAAAAAAAAAAACAGAAGAAGAAGCAGCAGCAGACAGGACAGACCTTATGAAGTGACAATCATTCTTCAAAGTTCTCTCCCTTCAGGGCCTGGACACCCAGAGAGAAGGTGTAGTTCTGAGTAGCTCTGGCCTATGGTTCCACAGAGCCTGGACATCAGAAAGCTAAGTACATTCCTCCATCACAAACTCAGTCCCATTGTTCTCACAAGTTGTCCCCAAATTTTGAATTCCCCTGCCCAGTGTTCTGGATTTAGATTCAGGGAGGTCTCCAGACAGAGGGGTGCAAAAGTTAAGAAAGGGCATCTGTTAGCTGGGGCGGCTGCTTCATACCTGGAGTGGTCCGAGACAGAGAACAGAATTAGAGAGCTCAAAACTCATCAAGTCTAGGAGTAAGAGAATTTTGGTTTCAGATCCCAGTTCCACCTGCCAGCTTCACCTCGCTTAACCTCAATTTTCTCACCTAGAAAATGAGGCTGGTAAAAACCTACCTTGTGAGCTATTGAGATCAAACGGACTACAACACATCAAACTGGTAGTACAGCTCTGGACACACAGTAACTTAGGCTGCTCTGACACGTTGTCACATTCTCCTGCTCCATGAAGGAAGGAAAGGTAGCAGTCTCCTGAGCTCCAAGCCGACTTGCTCTTCAAGGAATGTTGGTTGAGCGTTTGTTGTGTGCAGGTATGGCGCTAGGGGCCAGAATATGGTGATCATGGCCTCACTGAGTTCACGTGCCAGCTTTAGTAGGGCCAGCCACTGCAGACTTCTGTGAGGAAGATATGGACGAAGGTGAGAAGCAGGAGGGGGAGGAGGGGGGAGAGGAGGAGGAGGAGGAGGGGGGAGAGGAGGAGGAGGGGGAGGTGGGAGGGGTTCCAGCAAACCTGAACCTGAGCAATCTGAGAGGCTCATCCATATTCCTGTTTTATTTATTTTTTTTTAGATTTTTATTTTATTTTTTATTTTATGATAGCCACACAGAGAGAGAGAGAGGCAGAGACACAGGCAGAGGGAGAAGCAGGCTCCATGCACCGGGAGCCCGACGCGGGATTCGATCCCGGGTCTCCAGGATCGCGCCCTGGGCCAAAGGCAAGCGCGAAACCGCTGCGCCACCCAGGGATCCCCCAATATTCCTGTTTTAAAGAGAATAAGTTACCAAAGAAGATTTGGATTTGTTGGAGTTCTCCATAATATGGCTCCCTCTCTAGGCAACTGAATATCACAGTTCAGAAGGTGCCATCTGAATCTCAGGGACTCCCTGTATGATCTTCCTCACTCAAACTCCTGTAGCACATGCCCCTCTAGCCTCCCCACAGCTGATGGCACTACCTCAAGAACTTGGGACAGCATGCAAACCAACCTCAGGACAAGAGCTCCAAGCCCTGTGGACTTTATGCCTAAATCACCAGAATAACTGGTCCCAGGAGGCAGCCCAATCAAACACTTAAAACCTGCCAGGCACCACCATGACTTTGCTCCGGGGACCTTGTGCACTGGATCCTTCATACTGCCTGAAGTCAGGCAGAGTCTGGCTGCAGGAGACCCAAAATGGACAAGAAGGCCGGAAAGGGTGTGGAAGACAAAAGTGGGGATTAGGGAGAAAGCTAGGTGGAAGCAGGAGACAGAGATGCGTTCGTGCTTACTGCACTTCGCCTAGCAAGGTGGATGGTGGCTGCCTTTTGAGGAAGGAAAATGTGCTACCTGTTAGCCACTTCCAGAAGGGTAGCCTCAGCTTTGTGATTAGAGGATGTGTGTCCCTGGTGGCCAGGCTGTCTTCTGGCCAGAGAGGCTGTTGTGTCAGGAATTTGGCTATGTCTGTCATTGTGGCAGCAGAAACAGAGCAACACCCAGAGAGAAGTAGGGGCAGCATGAGTCTTCAGGAGCAAGGCGCCCTGAAAGAGGCTGAACATCACCTGCACAATACTGGATACTGAGGAAGACCATGCTTCTGTCCCACTCCTGCACTCTGAGCATGTGAGGTGGCCTGTCAGTCTGATATTTTTCTTCCCTGCATATTCTTGTAATACACTGGAGATCAATGGGGTTGGATCGGCTCTGCCCAAGAAAGCTTGGTCCCAGGAGGAGCCTGTTTCTATCACTGTGTCCTCTGCAGGTCTTGATTTATGTAAACACTACATAGGTAAAGATTAGAAGAGAAGGTGCTTACTCACATACTGTCCCTTGTGTCAAGATTTCCCACACTGGCCCTGCCTCAGCAGTCATACCAGTTGGAGGCTAAGGGGACAGCATGTAACAAGGCTCTGTGGTAGTAGGCAGCAAGGCAAGAGGGCAAGAGGGTTTATGCCATTTGCTGAGACTAGAGAGGCCGATGGGAGACACACCAGGACTTGAGTGCCAAATAAAGGTATTTGGTAGACAGACCTACATTAGTATAGTAATGGCTTTCTCCCTAAAAGCAAAATCCTCTTCAGATTTCTTTTGGTTAGTAAAAACGGGTACTAATGTAGATCTTTCATAAAAACAAGGTGGCACAATGCAAACTTTCTGAAAGCCAGGGTCCTCATCCCTTTACATCATTTTGACTTAAGGTTTCATGGGAAAGCTCTGACTTCAGCTAGTGGAGAAATCTGTATCCTAAGAGCCACAAGAAGCTGCAGAAGAACTTTAGCAAGAGGATGACAGATTCTTCTCAAAGAGAGATAGGTCTGATTGCTCAGTTGGGGAATGGACTGGAAGTGGGGAGACCAGGAGGAGGTGAGAGATGAAAGGGGTAGAGGTACTGGGGAAGAGATAGTAGGAATGGAGAAGAGACCCCTGGGAGATGTTTGGAGGTTGAACCAGAATGATCTGGAGATGCTATTAAAGAGGAGAAAGGGGCAGAAGGTAGGAGGCATCACAGATAACATTCAGATCAACTCTGGAGCCAGGCCCTGGGCTTCCCTGTTTCCCCGTTTTCTCTGGTATCCACTGCCAGCACTCAGATAATTTCTGTCATAGCCTCTCCCCCCAAATTGTCCAGGTCTATCCACAGATACTGGAGTCTTCTAAAGGACTTCTAAAGGACAAGGCTTGGAAGGAAGGAAGGAAGGAAGGAAGGAAGGAAGGAAGGAAGGAAGGAAGGAAGGAAGGAAGGAAGGAAGGAGAAGAGGAGAAGAGAAGAGAAGAGAAGAGAAGAGAAGAGAAGAGAAGAGAAGAGAAGAAGAGAAAGAAGAGAAGAGAAGGAGGGAGAGAGGACAGGAGAGAGGAAGGAAGGAATGGGACAAGGCTTCTTTAGTGCTTGCTTATTTCCCCCTGCAAAGGACAGGGCAGAGAGAAGGCCTCAAACAACGTAAAAAGGAGAACAGGCCGTCCAGTTGGCTCAAACCCACTCACCCCTTGAGTATGAGTGTTCTCATGTCCCTGAGTGTGTAAGGGGCTGGGTATGTCTATGTTTCTGTGATTGGCCTTGTATGGTCACCTCGAGGTCATGACTAGCAATGCCAGTCAGTTTAGGGACTGAAGCTGAACATTACTGAAAATTAAGCTGCCTGGTTGACCTTCTACAGAGATGGCGCCCACTTGCTATGGCTCAGCCCCACCTGTCTCTGCTGGGCTAGAGTTTCCTCGGAGCCTTGGGATGTAAGACATCTGATCCCTGGAGAAAAGCTAACAAACCTTGAAAAGCTAAATAAATTCTCCCTTCTCTGTTAGCAGCTGCTGTTTGCTCTGGATTTCCTCCCTATCCCACTTCCTGGGGGGCTATTAAGAGTAGAACAGACAAGTTGTTTATTCTCCCAAACAAAGTTTTTGTCTTGGAGACAAGAGTTTCTCCTCCCTCTCCTCACTCAGCCGCTGCTTGAGTAGGTACCAGGCTGCCGGCCAGCGGTGAGGGGAGAAAGGAGGGAGCCAGGTCTGAGTTTGGGCTCCCCAGCCACCCAGGGCAAGCACAGACCCTGGGGGACTCCCACTCTGCAGTGGGGCTGCCAGAGAACCTTCCAGCCGCGGTAGTCAGAGAGCAGACCGACGTCCAGCACAGCGCCACGGGGTAGCCCTTCACCCCTGCCTGCCCGCACCGGGCACCACCATTTGCACAATCATTCAAATATACCCAAGCCCAAGCCGGGCGGCCTCTGCTGGGTAGCCCAGGACCCCTAGCGCCTCTTGCAGAGTTTTGCTCATTTCCTTTCTAGGGTGGTTTCTAGGGTCTCCAGTCCTCGGACTTGGGTCACTACCCCTGCACTGGTCACGCCTGCCACCTGTTAAAGGTTCCAAAGGCAAAGCAGCTCCAGGGGGTGCCAAGGTTCAGTGTAGAAGCTTGAGCGGCTGGGGACGGAGTCTGGGCAAAGACCTCGAAGCCTCTCAGTGGCGGAGCTTCGGAGAAGATGCATTTCCCTGTGTTTGTGTGGTGCCTGCGTGGAGGGAGGTGGTTCCTGGAGGAGGCAGCCAGGGTAAGGGCCTGGGGCTGGGAAGGAGGGTGGGGCCTTCAGAGGAAAGACGCAACTCAGCCTGGAGTTTTCTGGAGAGCTAGAGCCACAGGAGCTGGAAGATAAGGCGGATGTAGCCTCAGGACCCAGATGCCAGGCGTTTCCTCAGGACCCATACCTCTAACTTCATACACTGAGGACTTCCTTCCACACTGAGGTAGGAGGGATCCTAACCGACAGCTCAGCCAGCAGCTGGGGCGGGAGGGGTGCTGGGATGGGGGAGGGGTGCTGTGCTGCTGCGCTGCCCTAAAACTGACTCAATTTCCTTCCACTCAAATCGCTTACTGAGTTCCTGCTCTGTTCAGTTAACCACCCCGGACCCTCCTCAGATGCTTGCTCAGTTCACATCCCCAAAGTCCCTCCATTCAGACCCTGGGGAGGTGTAGCATCTCCTGAGGAGCTAGCTCTTTCCTGAAGCTGGGGAAGACTGGGGGAGGGGCGCCCCGACAGTTCCCAGTTTCGGCTTGAGCCCCCCAGGGGATGGACAGGTAGGCAAGGGAGGAAGGCAGGGGAGGGAGAGGTCAGGGCAGAGGACCACTGCAAAGTCTGCAAGGTCAACCCCCCATTCCCAGAAACTGTCCCCTCCCACCTCCACCCCCACTGTGGCTCGGCACCGGGAGCCTAGAGCCGCGGGGTACTGTGGCCAGAGACATTTGCATGTGGCCTCGAGGCGCTGGCGCAGGGTCCGGCCTAATTGGGCACCTGACGGGGTGGAGAGAGGCTTCAGGGCTGAGCTCAGGCTGCTCTGCGCGGAGCACCCTAAGACTTCTCTCTCGGACGCAAGAAAGAGGCGGTGGCAGAGCAACCTGGGTCGGCCCGGCCGCGCCCCGGCGGCGAGGAGAGGCCACGGGCACCGAGAGCCCGCCCAGCGCCCAGCGCCCAGCGGGTGAGGTCTTGCGGGCCGGGGCGGGGCGGGGGGGGGGCGGGGGCGGGGGGGAGGGGAGGGGAGGGGAAGGGAGGGGGGAGGGGAGGGAAGCGGCGGCGCGCCGCGGGGTGGCCCGAGTCGGCGTTCCCGTCGCCCTCTGCCCCTCGCCACCCCTCTCACGCACCCCTCTCGACCAGGGCTGCCAGTGCGCTGCGCAGCATGCGGCCCCCGAGCCTGGAGCGCACCCCCGCGCCCCGCGGGCCGCCCCTGCGCCGGCTCCTCCTAGTGTTGCTGCTGCCGCGGCTGGTAAGCGACGCCCACACCACGCCGGGCACCTCCAGCTCCGCGACCCGGCCGCCCCCCACCAGCTCCCCAAGTCTGCGGGAGCGCGCGCGGGCCCTGATGCGCGACTTCCCTCTCGTGGACGGGTGCGTAGGTGCGGGGTGGGGCGGTGGACACGGGCCCGGCCCAGGGCAGGAGAGCCCCAGGGCAGGGGAAGCGGTCCTCAGGTCCTCAGTGATTCACTCTCCCAGCATCCGTGGATGCCTTTTCCCTTCGTCTGTCACTCTGCCCCTGGTGGGAACCCCCAGCGTAGGCCTCAAGCGGTTCTGGTACAGTCTGGTACACTCTGTGTGACTGTGGTGTGGGGGACATTCCCCCCCCCACCAACTTTGACCCACGTCCTGCTTGATCCTAAGGCCTAAGAAGCGCACCCATTTGCCCCTGACCTGACCTGACCTTGCCTTGCCCTCCCTCCAGCCACAATGACATGCCCCTCGTCCTGAGGCAGTTTTACCGCCTGGGGCTACATGATGTCAATCTGCGCAATTTCAGCCGTGGCCAGACCAGCCTGGACAGGCTTAGAGATGGTCTCGTCGGTGCCCAGGTACCACAGGGACACAGCATGGCTGAGGGGGAGTGTGGAAGCCCCAGAGAGCACAGGTTAGTCACAAGGGAACTCAGTTACTGTAGGGCCCCCCCAAATGCTACCATATGGATGCTGGGGGCTTCAGGGCTCACAGTGAATTAGTTTGGTAGGCATCCAAGTACCAGAGACAACCAGTGCATTACATGTGACCACATTTGCCATGTGGGCTGTCAAGGAACTCCAAAGCAACCCCTGCCCAAGCCAACCCTTGGCCTTCCCCCAGTTCTGGTCAGCCTACGTCCCATGCCAGACCCAAGAACGGGATGCCCTGCGCCTCACTCTGGAGCAAATTGACCTCATCCGCCGCATGTGTGCCTCCTATTCTGAGCTGGAGCTTGTGACCTCAGTTAAAGGTAGGCAGACTGGTGGGGGGTGTTAGGGACTTGACTGAATACCCGAGTCTCTGAAAGTGACCACCTAACCTACCTGCCCCCAGCTTTGAACAACACCCGGAAGTTGGCTTGCCTCATTGGTGTGGAGGGAGGACACTCACTGGACAGTAGCCTTTCCATCTTGCGTACCTTCTACATGCTGGGTGCGCGTTACCTGACGCTCACTCACACCTGCAACACACCCTGGTGAGCTCAGTGCAAATGGTATGCACCCACTGATGCAGGGACATGCCCAAGATCATACTGGGGCTCAGACCAAGCTTTACCCCTGGGATCTGACACTGACCCTGGAGTGGAGAGAGGAGCAGGAGTTCACGGTACAAGACTGGATTCCCAGTAGGGACCACCTCCTGCCAGGCACAGCCCAGCTTGAGTCCCTGCTCTCACTCTAGGGGTTGCAGGTAGAGAGGGTTCAGTAAGCTCTTGTGACTAAGTTAGGGCCACCATTCAGACTGCCTCCTGGTCATCCTGCAGGGCAGAGAGCTCAGCTAAGGACATCCATCCCTTCTACAACAATGTCAGTGGGCTGACCAGCTTCGGTGAGGTGAGGACCCTAGTGCCATACCCTGAGACACATGAATGCACATGCCCCACCAGTTCCCTACAGAAAAGGGCACATGCATGTGTATCCCTGATGCCCCTTCCCCAACCTGTCCCTGCAGAAGGTGGTGGTGGAAATGAACCGCTTGGGCATGATGGTAGATTTGTCGCATGTCTCAGACACTGTGGCTCGGCGAGCCTTGGAAGTGTCACAGGCACCTGTGATCTTCTCCCACTCGGCTGCCCGAGGTGTGTGTAAGAATGCCAGGAACGTTCCCGATGATATCCTACAGCTTCTGGTGAGAGACTGCCCTGGCCCTCAAACCTAAAGCAAGAGGTTTAAACCAGGAGCCCTTGAATCTGAGCCCCTGTTCCCTCAACTTGCTCAAACCCTATGCTGAACATCTGTCCCACAAAACCAGAGTCCACAGCCCCTGAATTCTTGAACTCAGGTGTGGGGGTTCTAAGTGGTAAATACTCCAAGACATTTCCATCCCAACCAGAGCTGAGACTCCTCCATCCACACAAATCTAGAGGTGATGTCTCCTCTGACCTCAAAGCCAGAGCTGAATAATTTCCTCACAGGAGCCTAGAGACAGGTGGTTGTTCTGGCAGCCAAGCTGAGTGTCCATTTGTCCACCCCTGCAGAAGAAGAATGGTGGCATTGTGATGGTGTCTTTGTCATCGGGGGTGCTGCAATGCAACCTGTTAGCCAACGTGTCCACTGTGGCAGGTAAGCCCTGCCTGGGCTCTCTGAGCAGCTCTGATTTGGACCTGAAGCCTTGAGGGGAGGGCCTCAGAATAGTCCCAGTGGTCTGACCTATTGTAGGCAATAGGCACCACTCCCCAAAACTCAATGATGGATGGTATAAAGCACCTTGGTGCCATGTGGAACTGATGAAGACACAAGAGTTGGTAACTATGACACTCATGGATATAAGGGAGGCAGTCAGACATAGAGCCCAGGTGCCAACCATCTGGGCCTCGGCAGAGGTTCCCAAAACTCCCTGCCCCTGCCTCTGACCAAGGGACTAAGCAGCCCCTTAAATCTCTGTGGTCTTTGTCACTTGTATTTTTTTTCCCTCTCATCCTCTATACTCATGGAAAGGAGCCCTCATAGTTCTCAAGGAGACTGGAGGTAGGGTGAATCCTGGATGAGAAATCGTCCAAATGGGGTCCACTCCAAATCTAAATTCCAGTCTAGAGTCAACTGGGATCAGCTTTCTCAAGCCCTTGAACTGGGTGTCAGGCCATGAAGGAATAGGCCTATATGGCCTACAGGCTGCAAGAAGGGGAATCAGTAGAGTGCAGTTCCCACGCATCCCTGCCCTGGAAGCCCCACAGTGCTGACTCTCCATCCCTCAGATCACTTTGACTACATCAGGGCAGTCATTGGATCCAAGTTCATTGGAATTGGTGGAGATTATGATGGGGCCAGACGGTGAGTGCTTCTCTGTGGCTAGCTGTGGGGTTAGCTTAATAATAGTCATCATATCTACCACACCATGGTCTTCATCGCCTTTAGGCCCACCTTGCATCTCTGCACACCCAGAGTCGTCTTCCTTCCTTCCTTCCTTCCTTCCTTCCTTCCTTCCTTCCTTCCTTCCTTCCTTCCTTTCTTCTTTCTTTCTTTCTTTCTTTCTTTCTTTCTTTCTTTCTTTCTTTCTTTCTTTCTTCTTTCTTTCTTTCTTTCTTTCTTTCTTTCTTCTTTCTTTCTTTCCCTCTCTCTCTCACTCTATCTTTTTCTTTCAAGTTTTATTTATTTAAGTAATCTCTACATCCAATGCAGGGCTTGAAGTCATAATCCTTAGGTCAAGAGCCACATGCTCTTCCAAACAAGCCAACCAGGGTGCCCCTGACCCACTGCTTCTGAGCAGACTCTTAGCAAGGTCTGGTGTGAACTGACCATTTTCTTTGCCTGCAGCTTGGTGTGTGCCTGCAGGATGTCAGTCTAGGTCCTTCTATAAATGGAGGAAAACTTTGTATTTTTCACGGGTCAGTGAAAGGCTGGAGCCCAAAATGGGGCTTGAATTCACAACCCTGAGTTCATGACCTGAGCTGAGATCAAGAGTGGGATGGTTAACTGACTGAGCCACCCAGGTCTCCCTGCATAGATCTCAACCGTACAATTCAGTGAGTGTTTATGAATATTGAAAGAGGTTAGGAGCTTCCTTCTGCAGAATAAAGAACAGGTTTGAATCACTTACCCTCTCCAAGTCTCCTATTCCCACATCTGACCAGGGCTGGGGTTCAGTAGACCTGGACACATACGGCTGTGGCTGACTCATGAACAGGGAACAGGGCTGAGGTTCCACAGCTGATTAGCTCTCGGCTACACAGTTTCCCTCAGGGGCTGGAGGATGTGTCCACATACCCAGTTCTGATAGAGGAGTTGCTGAGGCGTGGCTGGAGTGGGGAAGAGCTCCAGGGTGTCCTTCGAGGAAACCTGCTGCGGGTCTTTGGACAGGTGGAACAGGTATGCTGGGCTGGGCAAAAGAGTAGCTCGGGGGTCTGAGCAAGTGTGTCAGAGTTGCTGTGGGAGCTGCTGACCACTGACTGCTACCTCCAGGTACGGGAGGCAAGCAAGGGGCAAAGGCCCTTGGAGGATGAGTTCCCGGATGAGCAGCTGAGCAGCTCTTGCCGCTCCGTTCTCTCACGTCTGCATCAGACACAGTACCCTGCTCCATACCAGAAACTAACTGAGATTTCACCTGAGTGGTCCCCTAAACAGTCATTGTCAAAATCTCTCCCCATCATGGCCCCAGGCCTCATAGTTATTGCTGCTTGTTCAGTCCTCATTCTGTGGTTCTGGTGACCCAGTTAATCCTACCAAATGTCACTATTGCAGCTGCGGATACCCCACAATGTTCCCCCATCATGCAGGCACAAACATTTCCTGAAATAAATGTTTTACACAAGAAACCAGGCATGACTGTCCTTCTCTGTGGTGGAGTCTGGTGACACAGGTTCCCAATTCCGGTGGTTGGTGGGGGACCCTGCAGTTCAGCCACCAGTTACTCAGGTAAGACCTGAGTCTCACTAGCATGGCCTGAGTAGACCCAGATAGTTGAACTCAACTCTCGAGGAAGACAGTGGGTAGTTCCAGCTGCGGGAGAGTGGATCTTCCTCTGAGCTGCCTCACAATAGTTCACCTCAGTCCACATCCTGACTCAATGACCACCACCCAGGGAATTTGAAGGGAACTCTGGCTCAGATTCCCAAGAAGGGAACCTGCCTGGATCACAAATGATCTTTGTTCCTATTTGGACAGAGCCCAGGATGCCAGGCTACATGATAGGCCACAGGGCCTCCAATCACTGAACTTCCCTAGATGTGAACTCAACCCCTCCTCTGCCTCTCAGGGACTTCCTCTCTGAGAGGCAGAAGCTACTTAGAAAACCATAGTTTCTTTTCCAGAGGCCATTAATGGTAATAACAACTGCACTACTAATAGCCAAAATTAAGAGTTAATGCTAATAATGATAGCTAAAAATAATAAATAACATATGATAATAGATAATGCCTAATAAAAATAATAGTTAATACTAATAGTCTATGCAGACCCCATGACTGAGCAATTTCACTCCAGGTCTATACCCAACAGGAATACGTTCATAGGTTTTCCAAAAAAGGATGTGAAATAATATTTAAAGTGGCCCTCTTCATAATAACCCCAAACTGTGTACTTTAAAGTTGAACTTCGGGATCCCTGGGTGGCGCAGCGGTTTAGCGCCTGCCTTTGGCCCAGGGCGCGATCCTGGAGACCTGGGATCGAATCCCACGTCGGGCTCCCGGTGCATGGAGCCTGCTTCTCCCTCTGCCTGTGTCTCTGCCTCTCTCTCTCATTCTGTGTGACTATCATAAATAAATAAAAAAAAAATATTAAAAAAAATAAAGTTTTGAACTTCAAGAAGTCAAATACAAGAGATGATCTTAAAAGCAGTCATTTTTAAAACTCACATTAATTTGGGGTGCCTAGGTGGCTTAGCCGGTTGAGTGTCTGACTTGATTTCATACCAGGTCAGGATCTCAGGGGTGTGAGATCAAGCCTGGCCTCAGGCTTAGCACCTGATGTAGAGCCTGCTTGAGGCCTCCTTGCGATTCTCTCTCCATCTCCCTCTGTGCCAACCCCTCCCTGGCCCACACGCATGCATTCTATCTCTCTAAAAAAAAAAAAAAGAGAGAGAGAGAGAGAGGGATCCCTGGATGGCTTAGTGGTTTTGTGCCTGCCTTCGGCCCAGGGTGTGATCCTGGAGATCCGGGATCGAGTCCCACGTCAGGCTGCTTCTCCCTCTGCCTTTCTCTCTCTCTCTCTTTCATGAATAAATAAATAAAAATCTTAAAAAAAAAGAGAGATTCCTTAAAAATAAAATTTTAAAAAATAAAACTTTTAAGAAACACACAATAGGGCAGCCCCGGTGGCTCAGTGGTGTAGTGCTGCCTGCAGCCCAGGGTGTGATCCTGGAGACCCTGGATCGAGTCCCGCATCGGGTTCCCTGGGTGGAGCCTGCTTCTCCCTCTGCCTGTCTCTGCCTCTGTCTCTCCTCCCTGTGCATTCTCATGAATGAATAAATAAAATCTTAAAAAAAAAAAAAAGAAAAGAAACACACAATAATGATACTTAAAATCAGCATTGTATTTGGATTTTCAAAAACTGATTAATAGGGGGGTACCTGGGTGGATCAGTGGTTGAATGTCTGCCTTTGGCTCAGGTCATGATGCCGAGGTCTTGGGATCAAGCTCCACATCGAGCTTCCCAATGGGAGCCTGCTTCTCCCCCTGCCTATGTTTCTGCCTCTCTCTGTGTCTCTAAAGAATAAATAAAATATTAATAAATAAATAAAAATTAACAAATTTTGCTTTGTGGAATTTTACAAAAATTTGGAAATGGCCTTAAAAATTTTAATAAAAAATTTTTTAAAGATTTTATTTATTTATTTGACAGAGAGAGAGCACAAGTAGGGGGAGCAGCAGGTAGAGGAAGAGGGAGAGGCTAGAAGCAGGCTCCCCACTGAGCAAGGAGCTTGATGCAGGGCTTCATTCCAGGACCCCAGGATCCCAGAATCACAACCTGAGCCGAAGGTAGACACTTAACCAATTGATCCACCCAGGCGCCCTCTTGAAAAAAAAAAAATTAACTATACCAGTCATGATGGCATCCTACAAAAGAAGTTAACAAGCTGCAGTTATTTAAAAATTATTTAAGATCCTCACTTGGTCAAGAGAAATTGCCAAGCATTCAATCTCTCAATAGAAAATGAGCTAAGGGACATCTGGGTGGCTGAGCCGTTGAATGCCTCCTTTCAGCCCAGGGCGAGATCCTGGGGTTCCAGGATTGAGTCCCAGGTCAGGGTCCCTACATCGAGTCTGCTTCTCCCTCTGCCTATGTCTCTGCCTCTTTCTCTGTGTGTGTCTCATGAATGAATAAATAAAATCTTAACATAAAAAGAAAAAAAAAGAAAATGAACTAAGAAGTAGTTTTGAAAATATTATTTATGAAATGTTCATCATCACTTACTATCAAGGAAATGCAAATGAAAACCACAATGAGGTGTCCCCTCACACCTTTCAGAATGGCTAAAATCAACAAGACAAGAAACAACACATGTTGGCAAGGATGTGGAGAAAAAGGAACCCTTGTGCACTGTTGATAGGAATGCTAACTGGTACAGCCACTGTGGAAAACAGTAGAGATTCCTTAAAAAGTTAAAAAAAAAAAAAAAAAAAAAAAGAACTACCCTATGGATCCAGCAATCCCATTACTGGGTATTTACCCAAAGAACAGAAAAACGCTAATTCAAAGGGAGACATGCACCCCCGTGTTTATAGTAGCCAAATTATGGAAGCAGCCCAAGTGTCCATCGATTGATGAATGGATAAAGAAGATGAGGCATATATACATATATATGGAATATTTTTCTGCATAAAAGGTGAAATGCTTGCCATTTGCAATGACATGGATGGAGCTAGAGAGTATAATGCTAAGCAAAATAAGTCAGTCGGAGAAAGACATGATTTCAGTCGTGCGGAAATTAAGAAACAAAGGGAAAAAGAGAAAGACAAATAAAAAAATAGACTCTAACTACAGAGAACAAACTGATGGTTACCAGAGAGGAAGTCGGTGGGGGATGGGTGGAATAGGTGATGGGGATTAAGGAGGGCACTTGTGATGAGCACCAGGTGATGTATGCAATTGCTGATACTAATATAGTGCACCTGAAACTAAATTAATACTGTATGTTAACTAAATTAGACAATTAAAACAAAAGCTTAAAAAGCCAAAAACATTTTTACGCATGAGTTTGCCTCCATTAAAGCCATGTAAGTAAAATTATAATAAGTTCTGGTTTGAGTATGAATAAAATAATGTTGTGAGTTAATACACCTACTTTTCAGTTCTCTAATATTTTTCAACTATTTTATTGTTCTAGAAAAGTTCATCATTGAAAATACATTAAAAATGTATATAGTGATACACATTTTCCCTTTGCCTCAGGCTCCAAATTGGCTGTGCTCTGCAGTATTACTCAGAAAGTGCTAATAGTTCTTTCTGTTCATTTTACCTCTTCTCCCTTTTCTTGACTCCTTTGGGTGGATTGAGTAGCACTCAGAGATGACCTAATCCCTTTACAGATCCTTCCAAGCAGAGCTGATCCAGTTCAGGGTCCATTTAGGAAAAAATGGAAACAGGAGGTAGAAGACCGAGGCTTATGGGGGTGCTCTGCGCTGCTGGGGAGCAGACCTCTTGACAATCTTGCTCAGCAGTTGCAGGTGTTCTAAACACGAGTGGTAAGGGTGCTCTGTGACAGCCAGAGGTTGGGGACTACAGCCAACCATCACTGCTGGCACAGAAACTGCCTTTCGGTTTCCTCTGTAGCTCCTATTGGCAGAATGTAACAGGAAGCCAGCTAGGAGTTTAGGAAATGCGGTAAGAGTTTGAGCCCCAGCCTCACAGAGCAGAGAGTAGGAGACTGCGTCTGGAATTGAAAGACAATTGCTTGATCACTAGAATTGCTGCCGGCCTGGGATAGGTTCATTCATTCATTCTTTCTCCTAGGTGCATTCTTTTGTGTTCGAACTCAAAACTAAGTGTTCATCAGGGTCCTGCTTACTTTGGTGGACTCTAGACACGAATCACTGTCTCTTTAGACCACAGCACCCCTCATGGAAGACACAGCCCGAAAGTTGGCCTCATTTCTGGGTTTCTACCCTCCCTCGGTCCTCATCAAGTAATTTTCTGATATCTTGTTGAACTCTCTGATGTCTTCGGGAAGATCCTTTATATATATATATATTTTTTTTTAAGATTTTCTTTTTTAAAAGATTTATTTATTTATGAGAGACACACTGAGAGAGGCAGAGCCTTTTTATATTTTGCCCAACTTTCCCAGTCATTATCAGGAAGAGTATAACTCTTAGCAAACCAAACCAGACATTTGAAATGGCATTTATGTATTAATCTGATGACATTAAAAATTAATTATAAACATTTGTTCCTTTCCTTTCACCTAAGACTATTATGGGAACTAGCTGTATGTGCAATACTTCTGAACTTTTAATTTTTTAAAAAGATTTATTTTTTCATGAGAGACACAGAGAGAGGGAGAAGTAGGCTCTTTGCAGGGAGCCTGATGTGGGACTCGATCCCAGTCCTGGGATCACGCCCTGAGCCAAAGGCAGATGCTCAACCACTGAACCACCCAGGCATCCCAAGGGTGAGAGAATCTTTTTTTTTTTTTTAAGATTTTATTTATTTAGAGACAGAGACACAGGCAGAGGGAGAAGCAGGCATCATACAGAGAGCCCCATGTGGGACTCGATCCAGGGTCTCCAGGATCACGGCCTGGGCTGCAGGCGGCGCTAAACCGCTGCGCCACCGGGGCTGCCCTAGGGTGAGAGAATCTTTTTTTTTTTTTTTTTAA